ATTTTCCATTGCATTTAAACGCCAGTAAACCTTGATAGTGCACAGAAGTATTCTTCGGGTCTTAAACTGAATTGATCGATTTTTGTTGAGCGTACTGCCATATATAGTCAATTTTATGTTTCTGCTCTCATATTTGAGAATATAAATAATAAGAGTAATTAACTAAAGTCAATGGACTGATATAACTTTTAATAGACAAGTCGTCTGTCCTTGACTATCATCTTAAATCTAGAATATTTGATTTCATTTAAGTAAACTAAAATACTTCAACAATTGAATGAAACTCTATGATATTTTTCCAAATTTCTTACCATAAATATACTCTTTAGTGTCCATTTTTAATTCATTTATAAACAGCGAATATCAGGTGCTAATCATTAATGTTTCAAAAATACGATTAAGAACAATCCTAATTTATAAAATAACCCCATCGAAGAGTTATATTATTAGAATATATGACATCTATATATTTATCTATCTATCTATCTATCTATCTATCTATCTATCATATGTTTATAAAAGGGTTTCTACTCTTTCTACATGCCATTAATATCAAATTATCAAGAGAGGCAACAAATATACTCTGACCTTATAACTAGAAAGTTATTTTTAATATTCGAATGGGTAACTCTTGAAATTTCTAAGGTAGGAGGTGTCACAAATTGTATGCTCTGGCTAACTTTTCTCTGGACGAGAAAAAAATTAGAAGTATGAAGTAGTATTTTTCATAACTGTCATAAATTTCTAAATTTCTTTAGTTTAATTCTTAGATATCTTAAACTGAAAACAGCAACATACTTTCAATCACCAACTAATGGCAAAAAATGTGTCTGATAGAGTTAAATATGTTGTATGTTGTTTCCAAAAATGTAGAAAAAAAGGGGGCAAGCCGGGAATCGAACCCGGGACCTCCCGCACCCCGAGCGGAAATCATACCTCTAGACCACATGCCCTCGAAAATTTATCATTCGATTTTTATAGGTTTTTTAGTCTAAAACATTAAATTTATTTTCACAGTCATATAATTTCTTATCCACAGACCTTATAATACTCCCATATTAGGAACAACTAACTAGTTCCAAAGTAACACAATCTTTCTATAAATATTTGATTCTTCTGATATACCTTTCTCTATGTATATGATACCATATAACATATATTCGTTATATAAATACATTTTATAAATGAATAGTTTGGGCTTTAGGCCAATAAATAATTGTCGGAAATATATTATAAGAGGGATAATGACCAAGGTTATGATCTGACGCTAGATTCTTCCCGCAATGATCTAATAATAGGTTCATCCCGCAATGATCTATTGATAGCTTCATCCCGCAATGATCTATTGATAGATTACTTACGCCACTATCGAGTGAGTTTATAATTACGACAATGATAATCCAACATATATAAATGGAACAATATTTTATTTATGAATATAATTGTTTCCATAATGTAGAGAATCTGAGATAGAGTGTCTGCCTCTATTAGTCTCTTCAAGCTTTACTTTATTTAATTCGGACTTTTTTTAATACGATAATCGATCAGTCTCTTTATATTATATATAATTTATAGAACAAATAGAATCTAACTTCGAATGCAAGTTCAGAATTCTTTGTCTTTATATATTTTTTATTCTAATCTCAATTGAGGTTCGAATTATGTTTTGTTTCATAATGCGATTAACTTTGTTTCATGTTGCCACATATTTTGTTTCATATTTTAACACGCTTCATAATAACTGTGCTTAAAGGTAGTTCTTTACCTATTGAAATTAAGTGTTGTGCATATTACTCTTAATTTCTGACACATAATTTACCTTATATATTTTTATAAAAGATATAAAAATATCAGACGACTATAAGTTGATTTTATAATATAATAAAATTTGTTCAGTTAAATAGAAGATGTCTAATATTAAATTTTCCCATCAATAATTAACTCTATGTCCACAACAGCAGATTATTCATACTTTTTTCTGCTATAGACATCATATAATAGGACATATTAAAATACCTTATAACTGTTAAAGGTAAATGCCGCTAATGGACTTTAGCTATTACACTTTACCTATCATTCAATCTAGGAGTTGAGTTGAATTATTTATGCTTATATTCCTAATCTTCAATACAAGGCATAACTAGAGAAATATTTTTCAAAAATTTGAGATCTAGAAGGTGGGATACAACCTTATATAGGGTGAAATACCTCCTTATAATTTTGATTAGCATATTAGTTACACCACACTTTTTGGGAGTTCAAGTAAATGTTAGAAAATTTGTGCACTTTTTATTTTCTGCCATTCCTAATTAGTAATTCGAGAGGGAAAAAGCAAACATATTCTGAAATATGATACATTTCAGAGACATAGTAGATTTAATTGTAAAAAACTTCAACACTGGGATTTGTATATATCAAATAGATATATTTCATGATATACTGTCAGTCTTACCGGTTCTACAATATCAGATAATTACTGGTTAATGCTATATAACTGGTTAATTATCACCTTTGAATAAAAATTCATTACTAGATATGCTAAATTCAAATTTTAGATGCGGTCTTACAATAGTTTTATTACATCAAGCAGTTCCTAATTCTATCTTTTTTGAGACCTTTTTAATACGACATTTACTGTTTCTGTAGCAGTTTTACAATGACGTGATATTTGACATTTTGTGAGTAACCTAAATAGACAATCATACAACAATGCTATTTTCAGATTAAATATAATTGTTACATTTTTATATTTGGTCAAAGGTATCCATGAATCCACTCTATTACAAAATCATGAAGTATTATCTAGAAATTTTCACATTAATGGAGAACCACAGAATAAAAATGTTCCATTCCTTAATCCTTCATATTCCCTGTCCTTAAGCTGAACTTTCTTTGAGTAATATGTTTTCCTTTCAACTTTTCATTTCTTAAACATCATACATACCGTAATATTTTACTTTGTTTCAGTATTGTGTTATATTTAATAACAAATATAACATAATACTGAAATATTGCACTACTCCGAATTTTTTTAAAATATATATATATAGGTTTTCATTAATACCATAAATTTTGTTTAGAGCCCTTCTTTAGTTGTTCTAATTTCGGCAACATTAAAGACCAGTTTATTTTTACAACTCTTGTTAGCTCTGGATTACAAACAAACTTAAATTCAGGTGAAAAGGAAATACACCGGAAAAACATATATATACTTAATGGAAAACACCGCTAAAACGTTAATAAAATTATAAAATATAACGCTATATTGATTTTTAATTAATGTGGATATTTATTATGCAAAAATTAGAGAGTGTCTGTTATTCATTGAGGCGATATTCCGGATAATGTTTTTCTTTTGGACAGGTAAGTGCAAAAGTAAAAATGGATTATAAATATCCTAGACTCTCTCGTCAATTGTTTAGGGACCTAACTCTACAGTCTCGAAATAGCATGTAGTGAAAAATGATTGTTTAATATGAATTATAAGGAAATACGCCGAATGTTTCATCAAAGCAATACTTTTTTTGTCAAATTTTGTTACCTAATTCTTCACCTCTAGTGGTTATGTAAATAAACCAATTATATAACATGTTGCCTACAAATATAATCAATTTTAAGGAGAATCTTATGGTGTTTACATAAGATTTACAGCTCCCCCACTCTACCCCAAAGTATGTTTAGATACCTGTTTAGAATTGTTAAACTAAGCTATGAAAATTGCCTAGGCATGATAAAAGAAGGGCAGCGTGATAATTAGAAGTAAACATCCGATATGCTACATTTGGATATTTCAAGATTTTCTTTTTAAGCAGACTACTATCAAGGTTGATCTCAATTTCAAACCGGAGAAAAAACGTTTCCAGTTATTCGTTTATTTGGCACAAGTCACATAATCAGACATACCCCCTTCTTCCAGAGTTAAGATGGGATGACATAGTTCCCTATGCACAATTTCAGAATGATACCGCATCCTTCTGGAGACGGAATTACTTGATGGATTATTCAATAATTTCAGTAAGTATAAACTAGCGATATTAAATATGAGATATCCAGAATGCACTGAATTAATGAAGAATAAAAGTTATAATCCGCCAAAATAATTACCTTTTCTCCTTATTCTACATCAATAATGAAAAATTTCACTCTTAAGTAAAAGAAAGTAGTAACTGACAACTTTTTCACAGAGTACCCACCCACTTTTTCACATTTTTCATTATTATTATCTTTACTATCATTAAAAGTGCCGCTATATTAAATTTCGCTCCTTTTCAAATTGTGGCTTGCCTTCAAGATTAGTCTGGAGATAAGGAATAAATTTATATTGAAATTTCCAGTGACAACCCACAGCATTTAATTTTCCCGCCCCGCTTTTTTTTCTCCGATCTTTTTATCTCCGCTTGTGCAAGATTGTTTAATATATTTCAATTATTAAGCTAGTCGGAAAAACATAATAAAAATTCATATAATGCTCAAACCTGGGACTCCACAGACATTGCCGAAGAACAATGACCCTGCGTGGGTAACCGTGTGCCCCGCGTGTTTGGAAATCAGACCCAAACTGTCAAGGAGTTTCTGTGGCCCAATCCCAGCACAACCCCCACTCCACGAACTTGCTTCTGCATTTATTTCTGTTTTCTCCATCCCGGAAAAAATATTCATTTTTCCGACATTTTGTAAAGTCTTCTTCGATATTGTTTTCGTTTCGTAAACATATGCTTGGTCACACCTAGTTACTTTTGATTAGATACAGGCATCAATTTTTTTTGAATATATATATATATGTATACAAATATTTCAAAATAGATCTGATAAAACTTCTTCCTTGTATTTGAACAATATCTTTCATTCTAATCATCCTATTTTACTAGTTCAAATTTTTGAAAAAAATATATGGGCTGTGAAATCGACAACATTTATTATAATTATATTTTTTTATTGATTTTTCACTTGAAAAAAACTACTTATAGGTAACATAGATTTTAAAATAAAATAATAATATAATGTTGGCCAACATACAATCTAAGTTTCCAGCTGATAACGACAACAGACCATTCAGATGTGAACTTTGTCAACGTGGATTTCACAGACTCGAACATAAGAAGAGACATGTTAGAACACACACCGGAGAAAAGCCGCACGGATGCCAGTTCCCCGGATGTAACAAATTTTTCAGTAGAACAGATGAATTAAAAAGACACGCAAGAACACATATTGGAACCTCTCAACGCAAGACAAGAAAGGTCATTCCAAAGGCGCTATCTAAATCTAATAGCGATCCTCAGATTTCTACCTTAAACAACACAAAAAAAGTTTTGAAACAGGAGATCAGTACTCCGCCAAAGGCATCGATTACTCCTTCTTTATCCGCTTTATTACATCACCATGATACACATATCTCATCAAGAGCCATACTTGGAGATGCTACTTTACTGGAGAAACCAATTTCAAGAACAATGTTTCCACCTAGTTTACAAAAAGTTACTCAAAAACTCTTACCTATAACTGTTGCTACACCAGAGAATAAGTCAGCAGAGACATCAATACCAAATTCTCCTATATCACAGAGTAATTCGATATCCGCTTCCAGTAGTTCACTATCATTGAATTCTCTGATGAATTATAATAACAATCAGATGTCATCTGCTTCCTCTGTATCATCTTACTCAGATGCCAGTTTCAGTTATCTAGATACCTCATTGAAACTAGGTAATAGAAGACGTGTCGAGTTTCATTTAATTGCTGATGAAAACGACGATGACCACAGTAATATAAGGCGTCATAGTAACATACCTAATGGGGTTCAACTGCCCCCTATTAAATCTATATTGGATAGTATAGATAGTTTCAACAACGGGGTTTCGCAACAATTAAACCGTCCTCCTACATACCAACAAGCATAATTTAGTCGACATATTTGACTTAATCAACATTCATTCATACATAAATACACATAGACACACACATACATAAACGTAATACTATAATTATTTTTAAAATTTAAACTCCCACTAGCTTTACTTATGTATGATCTAAATTATAAGTATACCTTTCGTTTAAAGAATGTACAACACCGAGAAAAATGAAAATAAAAAGAAATTATCAATTCGGAGAAAATACTACATTACGTCCGAAATGATAACATATTGAACACCCGGGTAACTACCACTAAATAATTTTTTTCTTTGCTTCTGCTCATTTCTGTTTTCCATTTTATATTTTCTCTTCCAGAATTTCTAGTTGTGCCGCTTCTAGCAACGAAGGAAAATTTAAAACAACAAGCAGTAACAAATACTTGACTCAGGTACTAATACAAGCGGATAAAATCAATAGATTTGGGGACATACTTAAGCTGCAATATAAATAAACTGGATATATCTACTAGCCTGAGGCAGTTTTGTGAAGTTTAGTGAACTTATCAACATTGTCAAAAATGCAAAACAAAGACACCTCTATGATAGATATCAACGACGCTAACAATGCTCAGGATAAAAAGGGTGACACGTCATTAGCCCACAGTTTTTCACAAATGAACGTGGATACAGCCAATGGACTTGAACCTCGTCCTCAAATATCTGGTAGACAGAGATCTAGATCAACATTAATATTCGATGATGATGACGAGATTCCACCTTACACTGACCATCAGGAACACGGGAGTTCAAATATATCTGATTCAGATATAGATGATAATTCAAGTGGGAATGACTCTGATGCCTACATGAATGATGATGAATCACTTCGACTACAACCATCGCATGAACAAGACCAAGGCCTAAAAAATCAAGATCAACAAATGCAAATGCAGATGCATCCACATGAACCACAACTACCATCACCATCACAACAACCACAGTTTGTACCTTCTCAAAACCAACCAAATAATGTAATGGTACCAGTTGATATTACCTGGCAACAGGGTGGGCAAAAAGCCTATGTAACAGGTTCTTTTACTGGTTGGAGAAAAATGATTGGACTTGTTCCAGTACCAGGTCAACCTGGCATTCTACATGTTAAATTGCAATTACCTCCGGGAACACACAGATTTAGATTTATTGTAGATAATGAACTAAGATTTAGTGATTATTTACCTACAGCAACAGATCAAATGGGTAATTTTGTAAATTATCTAGAAGTTGTTGCTCCAAATCAACATGCAGTTTCTCCGAACAATAACATTGTAGAGGATAATACAAATTGGGGTGCAGGTGAAGAACGTAACCAGTCAGAAGGAGGAAAACCACCATTATACAAGGAACAACAAAACCAAACAAATAGACAAGGCACTTCTAAAACTGAGAGGAAGGAACCTATGAGTGCACGTTCTAGAATTGCCTTGGAAATCGAAAGTGAGCCTGATGATATGGGTAATGGGTTCTCTCGTTTTCATAGTCAAGAACTTCTAGCTCCAAAAATTGAGTACACCAAGGACATTCCAGCTGTTTTCACAGATCCAACAGTTATGGAACAATACTACTTGACACTTGACCAGCAACAGAATAATCACCAGAATATGGCTTGGTTAACTCCTCCACAGTTACCACCTCATTTGGAAAACGTTATTCTAAATAGTTATTCAAACTCTCAAGGCCAGAATAGTGAAAATACGTCAGGTGCGCTTCCTATTCCAAATCATGTGATCCTGAATCATTTAGCTACTAGTAGTATCAAACACAATACATTGTGTGTCGCCTCAATTGTAAGATACAAACAAAAATACGTGACACAAATTCTTTATGCTCCTTTACAATGATACCAAATTTCGTTATTTAGTATTTCAACCTGAAGATTGATCCATGATAAAATCTCTTCACTTATATAATGTATTGAATATACATAATGTACCTGTGTATTTATAATCATTTATAGAATCAATTATAAAAGTCAACTCAATGAGTTAACCAAAAAATCGTTTATGTGCCGATTACTAAAAAACCGACGCTGTTCATGAATTGAAAACACATTTCGGAATGATTTGACTAAGATTAAGTAAAGAACCTTAGTTAAACGATATTAGAAATATTTGGATGATTTTTGAAGTATAGAACTAAAAATTACACTTAACAAAGGTAAGATTATATAGAGATATAATGAGAGCATTGATGGAAAATTGAACTCTACCACCATAGTTTTAAGTTTAATGAATAAGTAGAATAGGACGAAGTTCTTCATCAACATAATATAACGATGATATATACAACATGGAACAAATTTTCCAGTGCTCACTACGTTAGACATTATTTCAGAGTAAAGAAGAGGATCAAATTCCTACCAATTAAGAGTATAATAATTCAAGTATTTCCATACGAAATCTTTATAGCATGTAGTACATTAATAAAGAAAAGTTACCTCCAAATTAAAGTATGATAACCAATTTTATATCAATATATCTCAGTTAATTGTTATAGTACACAATAAACTGAGATGCAACGATAAAGTTTAAACAAAGATAGTATATAATTAGGCACCTTTAGTGGAAAAAAAACTAAAAAATGTGCCACCTCCTGGAATCGAACTAGGATTTCATCGGCCACAACGATGTGTACTAACCATTATACTAAGATGGCAATAAATGGATAAAATTTTTGTATTGGGATCTCAAATGGTTGAAGACAAAAATATAACGGACGGTTATATTTAATTACTATTGTAAACGTGAGTTTTGTCGGAAATATATTATAAGAGGGATAATGACCAAGGTTATAATCTATTGATAGATTCATCCCGCAATGATCTAACTATAGGTTCATCCCGCAATGATCTATTGATAGGTTCATCCCGCAACAACTTAATAATAGATTACTTACGCCACTATCGAGTGAGTTTATAATCACGACAACAAGAAATCCAACATATATAAATGGAACAATATTTCATTTATGAATATAATTGTTTCCATAATTTACTTTATATATTTTTA